GATATGGAGGCAAGCAATTTATCAGATAGAGAGTTTAGACTAATGATTATAAGGATAACCAACAACATTAAAAAAGACATAGAAACCATAAAAAAAGAACAGTCAGAAATAAAGAATACAGTATCTGCAATAAATAATACATTGGAAGCAATAAACAGTAGATTAGATGAACCAGAGGATCAAATATGCAATTTGGAAGACAAGGTAGGAAAAAACACCCAAGCAGAGCAGCAAAATCAAAAAACAATTTTAAAAAATGAGGAGAGCTTAAGAAACATTTTGGACAGCATGAAGCATAACAACATCCACATCATGGGAATACCAGAAGGAAAGGAGAGTGAGCAAGGAATCGAGAACCTATCTGAAAATATAATGACTGAAAACTTGCCTAATTTGGTGAAGGACAAAGACACACAAATCCAGGAAACTCAAAGAGTCCCAGAAATTCGGACTCTAAGACGCCTACACCAAGACACATCATAAATAAAATGGCAAGGCTTAAAGACAAGGAGAGAATCCTAAAAGCCATAAGAGAAAAGCAGATACTTACAACAAGGGAGCTCCAATTACACTGGCATCTGATTTCTCAACAGAAACATTTCAGTCCAGAAGGGACCAGCATGAAATATTCAAGGTGATGAAAAGCAAGGCCATACAACCAAGGCCCTACAACCAAAGCTACTTTACCCAGCAAGGCTACCATTTAAAATTGAAGGAAAAATAAGGAGCTTGCCAGACAAGAAAAAGCTAAAGCAGTTAGTTAACACCAAACCAAAACTGCAACAAATATTAAAAGGCTTGCTTTAAGAAAAAAAACAAGGTGAGAAAGAAAAAGAAAACAGAGGATAATAACTAACAATAAAATGGCACTAAATACTTATCTATCAATAATCACCTTAAATGTAAATGGCTTAAATGCTCCAACCAAAAGATGTAGCCTTAGCTAAATGGGTAAGAAAACAAGACCCATATATATTTTGCCTCCAAGTGACACATTTCAGATTGAAATATACAGACTAAAAGTAAAGGAATGTAAAAAGGTATTTCATGCAAATGGAAAAAAAGCTGAGTAAGCAGTACTTATACCTGATAAAATAGGCTGTAAGAGCCAAAGAAGGACACTACATAATGAAAAAGGGAAAAGTCCAACAAAAGGATATGACCCTAGTAAACATGTACACACCCAACACAGGAGCACCTAAATATGTAAAGCAAATCTTGAAGGACATATAGGGAAAGATCAACAGAAATATATTCATATTTTGAGATTTTAACAACTCTGACTTCAATGGATAGATCTTCCAGACAGAAAATCAACAAGGAAACAGCAAACTAAATGACACACTAGATCAAATAGATTTAATTGATATCTTCAGAACATTTCACCCCAAAGCATCAGAATATACATACTTTTCAAGTGCACATGGAATATTTTATAGGATAGGCCACATGTTAGGATACAAAACAAGTCTCAATCAATGTAAGAAGATTGAAATCATATCAAGCACCCTCTCTGACCACAATGCTATGAAGTTAAAAATTAATCACAAGAACAAAACTTAAAAATACACGGACTTCCGGCAAGATGGAGGAATAGGTGGACGCACCGTGCCTCCTCGCACAACCAAGATTAGAACAACAATAATTTACAGATAGAATATCACTCAGAACTGATAGAGGATTTATCTGAATGGAAGTCGGACAGCCAAGAAGTTGAAGTAGACCCATACATCCAAACTGGTAGGAGACCACGAGCCGGGCGGGCGTGGGGCTGGCGCGGGTCAGCGGCGCGCAGAGGTCGGGGGAAATTTGGCACAAAATCGGCGCAACAGCCATCCGGGGCGCAAAAACGCAGCGGTGATCCCTGAGTACGCAAGCTGCGGCGGGCGGACCCTGTGGGGCAGCGATTGTGGACCAGGGCAGAACTCGCAGCCCAAGATCCCAAGGAAGGGCCTGAGCCTGGGAGAATGGAACTACCGCCATTGTCCCCTCCCGCTCCCGCCCCCGCCCACACAAAAACGTCACAATCTAGCGACCAGGGCGACCAGCCCCGGGGAACACCTAAGGCTCCGCCCCCGCACCGTAACAAGAGTGACCAGAGACAGGGAAAGACATAAGACATGTAACCAACAGAACAGATCAGTCCCCCAGGACTCATCCTTTTGAGCGACCAACAAATAGCCAATCTATCAGATGCACAGTTCAAAACACTGGTGATCAGAAAGCTCACGGAATTGGTTGATTTTGGGCGCAATTTAGATGAAAGGATGCAGGTTACCATAAAAGAGATGCAGGAAGATACGTGGAGGAGAGCCAATAGTGAAAGGAAGGAATCTGAGTCTCAAAACAATACAGTGGACCAGAAGAAAGATAGAATCAACCAAGCAGGAAAGCATGATGCAATAAGAATTCAAAAAATCCAGGAAAAGCTTAAGAGCATCCAGGGCACCTTTAAACGTTCCAACATCCGAATTATAGGGGTACCAGAACAGGAAGGAGAAAAGCAACAGATGGAGCACGTATTTGAACAAATAATAAAGGAGAACTTCCCCAATCTGGCAAAGGGAACAGTCTTCCAAGAAATCCAAGAAGCTCAGAGAGTCCCAAAGAAGTTGGACCCAAGAAGAAACACACCAAGGCACATCATAATTACATTAGCCAAGGTAAAAATGAAGGAGAGAATCCTAGAAGCAGCAAAAGATAAGGGGACAGTAACCTACAAAGGAGTTCCCATCAGACTGTCAGCTGATTTCTCCAAAGAGACCTTACAGGCAAGAAGGGGCTGGAAAGAAATATTCCAAGTCATGAAAGACAAGGACCTACATCCCAGATTGCTCTATCCAGCAAAGCTCTCATTTAGAATGGAAGGGCAGATAAAGTGCTTTTCAGATAAGGTCAAGTTAAAGGAGTTCATCATCACCAAGCCCTTATTTTATGAAATGCTAAAGGGACTTATCTAAGAAAAGAAGATAAAGAAAAGACATGTATAGTAAAAGGACAGCAAACTCACAATTATGAACAACCACACCTAAAGCAAAACCAAAAGAAACTAAGTAAACAACTAGAACAGGAACAGAACCACAGAAATGGAGGGCACATGGAGGGCTAGCAGCAGGGGGGTGGGAGGAGGAGAGAGGGAGAAAAGGTATAGAGAATAAGTAGCATAGAATGTAGGTTGAAAAGAGATAGGGGGAGGGCAAGAATAGTACGGGAAATGTAGAAGCTAAAGAACTCGTAAGAATGACACATGGACATGAACTAAAGGGGGGGAACGTGGGTGGGAGAGGGGGTACAGGGTGGAGGGGAGAGAAGAGGGAAATGGGACAACTGTAATAGCATAATCAATAAAATACATTAAAAAAACTTTTCAATGACAATTTACACTCAATATTATTCTATGTTAGTTTCAGATGTACAGCAAAGTGGTTAAAAAAACCATGTACTTTACAGAGTGGTCCCCTTGCTGCTTCAAATACCCTCCTGGCCCCACACAGTTATCACGATATTCTTGACTATGTTCCCTATGCCGTAACCTACATCTCTGTGACTCTTCTGTAACTACCAAACTGTACTGTTTAATGCCTTCACCTTTTTCACCCAGCCCCAAATGCCCCCCTATGACAACTGTCATTGGGTTCTCTGTGTCTATGAGTCAGTTTCAGTTGTTTGTTTTGTTCATTAGATTCCACATATAAGTGAAATCATGTGATATTTGTTTTTCTCTGATTTATTTCCCTTAGCATAATACCCTCTAGGCCCATCCATGCTGGCACAAAAAGTTTCATTCTTTAAAAAGTATTTTTATTGGTATCTTTTCCTCTTATCCACTTCATCCCTCTAATTTTAAAGATCTATTTAGCTACTGTTCTTCAAATTCAAAAGTAACAAGTGCTTGTTATAACCAGTGAAACATCGCAATATGAGGATGTATGAGGACAAAACTAATCACCCAGACCTTAACTTCCTGGTGTAATCAATAGTACCAGCCTGCTGAGGAGCCTTCCCCAACTCTCCTTGCTCATACAAACAGATAAAAAAATATGTGTACATATATAAAATGTTGTTTGTTTTCACCAAAGTATAATCATACTATATTATTCTGCAACATATTTCATTTTAACTATATATGTACATACATACACATATATTTATGTGATGTGAAAATAGACTATATTACTGAACAAAATATACTGAAGATGCTCTGCAGATTTAAGTTTTTTTCCAGTACTCAAATTCCTTTTTGTATTCCTTTAAAGAACATAACATCATTACAATTATTTATAATGAACTGTTTTATATCTTTCTTCCCTGCTACACTGAGAGCTCCATGAAGGCAGGGGGTCTAATTTTGTTCACCACTAACTCCAGAATTTAGGGCAATGCTGCCAAAATAGTAAATGCCTAAAGTCTATTTGTTCATTGTTTCCATGCTTCTTGAAAAGTTCCATCTAAACTGGGTCATTGCCAATACTCAAATGTGTGTCCCTTTAGGAACTCAGGCCTGAGTAAGTCACCACTCAATATTTTTTGATAGAACATAGTGACAGTACGTTTTAAATGTAAGAATTTGTACTTCAGCAAAACACCCTGCCTGCCACAAAATGCAGGGTATTTTAATGAATTAAAAAATGCAGATAATGTGTTTAGCGGAGAGTTCTGCACTTCTAATTAGGAGACCTGGGTTCTAATCCTACCACTGCCATTAATTTAGCTGTGGCTTTTATAGAAATCGCCTTATCCTGATGCTGCCTCCTTATCTGTAGCTCTAGCACTCATTAATTCCACAAATATGTACTGCCTACTATGTGCTGGCACTAGGCTAAGTACTAGTGAATACAGGGGCGAAAATAACCAACATTTAATGAATGCTTACTTTATGCTGATGGAGTTATATGCACTCTCATTTAATCTCCTATGAGATAGCACTGTCATGATACTTTCTGTACTTTACAAAGAAGGGGACTGCGGTGTAGCGAGGTGAAGTAACTTTTCTAGCATACCAAAGAACGCAGCGAAGACAGGATTGGATTGCAGACACTGGGGCTTCAGATGCCATTCCACGAACCGCAGCGAATCCTTGCCCTCCTAATTTGATGACTATCTCTGCGGCTTGCATTTTGGTCGCAGTCCATGGGTACTGGGTTGAGCACCCTCTTGTTAATTGGAGGGTGCAATGATGACGGAGTACGTTGTCTGCAACGAGATATGCTCTGGCTAGTTACCGCAGCTTCCACGCCCGGAACGCAAAGTGGTAGGAGGTGTCAGCAGGTCACGCACGCCGGCTTCTCTGGGTGTCCCATTGGGTAGAGAGGAGCGTACGGGTCACGCCAGCAGGACGCGCGTCTCTGACCTCAGCAGAGGGCGGGGAGAGGGGCGTGCTGCTTGCTCTCAGAGCTTCCAACGTCTCCGCGAACTAGCGGCTGGGCCAGGCTTAGGGCTCATTTGCCCCGCCCCGCTGCCCTTCGCAGCGTCCACTTCCTGGCCCTCCCCACTTTTAGCGAAACCAACGAGAGAACACTACCCACATCTAGAGCAGCCCGACCAGGAGCGTAACCGAGGGGCGCGCAAACGTGAGAGGAAAGCCGTGTGCAGTTGCGCTTTCCCACCCTTGAGTCGTTCTAGACGCGGGTGAGTGCCAGGGCATCGGTCTGCATCTGGAGCGGCCCCGGCAGGGCCCGACCTCGCCCGTGTTTGGGGGATGGCCTGGGCCTTGGCCCACTCCCAGCATGCTCTACGCGGGGTACCCGGGCAGGTGCAGTGGGAGGAGTAGCGTGGGAGGGGCGGATGGAGAGACTGAGGGCCGCCTTCCTGGAGGCCCTCCTTGGCCCTTCAATGGGGTATCATAGTGTCCATGACCTCCCTCTCACTTGTGCTATCCATTTCGTCCTCCTTCCTGTTCCATACTCCACCCCAACTATCTTCACCTAAAAAGACGCATCTCAAAACCACTTGAGTAGTTTTTGCTTCATTTGTGCCCATATGCAGTTTTAAGTTTCCCTCTCTTCTGCACCAAACATCCTATCATGTGCATCTCCTGTGTTACTTTTTTTTTTTTTTGCCTCCCCTAGTGGAAAAAAGATCTATTCCCTAGAAAAATTGGTACAAGTAATACATGACTAGTATCCCAATTAGAAAGGTTTCTTTCATATGCCCTTATAAAGTTGGGAGACACGTGTGAATTATATATTGGCCAGAAATAATGAAGATTACATAATATGAAATGCCAGAATCCTATCTAAGTGAATTTTAGATTGCATCTGACAATTTTGATATTAAGCGGAACTTGTTTCCTGTCAATTATCTTTGCCTTCGTAGAGCTGTGTTTATTGACCAAGTTCTGTGAGTGACACAAGAAAACCATCCTTCCTCTTTCCTCACCCTCCCCACACCCACTGAGGAATTACATTTGCCAAGCTATTCCACATCTGTCCTAGCAGAAGTCAAAGTCCATTTCTTCTACAAGAAAATCAAGGGATGGTTTCCTTGTAACAGTATGGTGATGTGTGCAAAATGTCAGTTGTGGTTAACAAGTCCCACATTTTTTTCATTTATAGGAAAAAACAGGGTTATTCTATAACTTGTTTATTAAATTCTTGATAATATGGATAGAAGCACCGTTGAAATCATTATTCTGTGATAGAAAAGCATTAAATTGATGTCAGGAGATCTAATTTCTAGTTCAGTTCTAACACTTGTGTGACTTTGGGTCAGTTACTTGAACTCTCTGGACCCTCTGTTTCCATATCTGAAAAATGAGAGAAATGACATTGGGTAGCTTCTAAGACCCTTTGAACTTTACAAGTCAAAGAGAAAATCTCAGTAGCGAAGTAGACCATTCCCTGTAGAGATAGAAGGGAGACTGGAAAAATCTCAACAGTTGTATTTCATGTTGGCTTTTCTTTTAGTTTGTAATTGAAATACAAGTGTAGACTTCCCCCTTTTACTTCCCCAAAGAATAAGAAAATACCTTGAGAGGAAGTAAAAGTGTTCATTAATGGTCCCCAGATATGCCTATATTGATTCAGTTCTTATGCAAATAATTTAACTGTTTTCATTATGGACTTTTATTACATCAACTAATTGAAATATTTATTGGAAACCATCTAGTCTTAGGAACAAAAGGGTAAATATTAGCATATGTGGTGTCAATCTCAAGAAACTTGCTTTGGATATACTCAAAACACCCAAGGACAGCAGCTATCATTTAAATAAAGCACTGGGTTGAGAACCAAAATGTCAGCACAGATTCCATTGATGATTTGCCAGTTGTTGGTGGTTTTATCTGTTCAATTTAAGGTTTTGATATGAAAGTCTATTTCTATCTGGGAGGTATATAAATAGTATAACACAAGCTTGTGAAATAATTCATTTAAAGGGAACTATGGACAGATAACCTATGTAATGGTGGTTTCTAAGGCTAATGCTTTGATGTAGTACTTGGTTAATTAAATCCCTGTAAATGAAGTACAAAAATAACCTCCCAGAAAAAATCTGCATAGAGGTATTGGTACAAAGTTCCAGTTTATACTGAACAGTATGAATTGGAAGCTAATGAGTCTTAGAATCCTTGGTACTATATGCAAGTAACTTGATTTCAAACTTGGGAAGCTTTTTTAATGTTAAGAGCAAAATGTAAGTGTATCAGGAATACCAAATCAAGTCACTACGCTAGTATTCTTTCTAAGTATCCTAAGGATTTCTTTCTTCTTTATAGGAAAAAATGCTTTCTGAAAGCAGTTCATTTTTGAAGGGTGTGATGCTGGGAAGCATTTTCTGTGCCTTGATCACTATGCTAGGGCACGTTAGGATTGGTTATGGAAATAGAATGTACCACCATGAGCATCATCACCTACAAGCTCCTAACAAAGAAGATATCTTGAAAATTTCAGAGAATGAACGCATGGAGCTCAGTAAGAGCTTTCGGGTATACTGTATCATCCTTGTAAAACCCAAAGATGTGAGTCTTTGGGCTGCAGTGAAGGAGACTTGGACAAAACACTGTGACAAAGCGGAGTTCTTCAGTTCTGAAAATGTTAAAGTGTTTGAGTCAGTTAACATGGAAACAGATGACATGTGGTTAATGATGAGAAAAGCTTACAAATACGCCTTTGACAAATACAGAGACCAGTACAACTGGTTCTTCCTTGCACGCCCCTCAACGTTTGCTATTATTGAAAACTTAAAGTATTTTTTGTTAAAAAAGGATCCATCACAACCTTTCTATCTAGGCCACACTGTAAAATCTGGAGACCTTGAATATGTGAATGTGGAAGGAGGAATTGTCTTAAGTATAGAATCAATGAAAAGACTTAACAGCCTTCTCAGTGTCCCTGAAAAGTGTCCTGAACAGGGAGGGATGATTTGGAAGATATCTGAAGATAAGCAGCTAGCAGTCTGCCTGAAATATGCTGGAGTGTTTGCAGAAAATGCAGAAGATTCTGAAGGAAAAGATGTATTTAATACCAAATCTGTTGGGCTTTTTATTAAAGAGGCAATGACTAATCAACCCAATTTGGTAGTACAAGGATGTTGTTCAGATATGGCTGTTACTTTTAATGGACTGACTCCTAATCAAATGCATGTGATGATGTATGGGGTATACCGTCTTAGGGCATTTGGACATATTTTCAATGATGCATTGGTTTTCTTACCTCCAAATGGTTCTGACAATGACTAAGAAGTAAAACAAGAGCATGTATGTGATCACCTTATAGGACATGTGTTGTCATTATTTGTAGTAACAACTACATATCTAACACAGCAGTATGTTTCTTTTTTCCTTTTCCATTTGGTGACACTGGTTTAATCATATATTAAAATTTAGTAGTACACTTTTAAATATGGTGGGTTTTTTCCTTAAAACATATATGAAAATTTCAAACATGCTGGAAGAAATGTTTTAAGAATAGTACTTTTGCAAATAAAGCATATATTTATAAATATATTTATGTGATAAATTCTAAATTATGAACATTAAAATCTGTGGCACATTTTTGCTGATTGCTTAAAATGTTAACGTCTTTTTGGCTAAGATAGGCAAACAAATCTGTAGTTGTGAACTTCTGATTAAAGTAAAACTTTCAGCTGTGTTTCCATTACTTCTAATGTTGGTTTATTTTCTAAGCCTCTGCAAGTGCCAGTGAATTTGCTTTCTCAAACTACACAACCAAGCAACAAAGGAAATTATCTCAACCAGTGTAAAAATGGAAGTTGGAATCTATCCTTGCGAGAAAAATCATAATTACTTATAGAGTTTAATAATTTTCCTGGGAGCTAATATAATGGCATTCTTCAGCATACACAATTTCAGTGTAACTCCTGTGCTTCTCTAGGCAGATATTGAAGTTGGAGTGAAAGACTATCAAGAATGTAATGTCATTTAACTGTGTGGTTTCCCAGTTCATCAAGCTCTCAGCTGTGACTCAGATAAAACTATATCAGTTGATATTTATATATTGCTTGGCAAATGAGTTCTGTGGAAGTCTCCTTTAAAAAACTTGACCATGTCTCAGCCTTTTGGCTAAGATCGAGTGTGGGTATTTGTTCTTACCACTTTAACATCCAATACATCCTCTCTCTGAGAACAATGTATTACATGGTTTTTTGGAGCAAGGGGATAGAACAGGAACTTGCCCCATCCATGCCTGCATTGACCTGGTATTATGTTATCTCTGAGAATGGTGTGCCACCTCAGGGACAAAAAAAAAAAAAAGCTTTTGGCAATCAGGCAGTTTCATTTACCTGAGTTAGTTAAGTCCTTCCTGTTTTTGTTTACCTGTTAAAATTTTGACATTTTCCCTATGTTTATGCTTGCACAATATCCAACTGTTTTTGGTGTAGAAGGCTTAACCTCACTATTCACCTTGGATTACCATATCATTTGCCTAATTTCAGTGGCTACCCAGAAGCTTTATCCAGTGGTAAATACAATAGCTCCTGTGCTTGTAAATGTGTAAAATACTTAGAGCTGACTTGTCCTATAATTGGGCCTTTTTCTGCTGTATTAAGTTAGATCTATAAGCACCTATAGGGTGTGAGACCATGACATTTTAGAGCTCAACATTTCTTGTAAACTGGGCTCATGATGATAATGGTCTCCCACAGCTTTCGCAAACCAGAAAGAATTTCCTCAAGAGGACCTTAGATATCAAATTGTTGATCAGAATAGCATATAAAAACCATTT